GAGAGAGAGAGAGAGAGAGCGTGTGTGTGTGTGTGACAGAGAAGAGGGAAGAAAAAAGACAAGCGGCTTGGAAACGGTGGCCGAACCCCCCTCCCTAGTCTGGTCTGTTGGTTCGGGCACCCCCTTCTCTCTTGTCTGTTATGGTTTGCGTGTGGCGGCACCTTGCGCATCGCATGTATGCATGCACCTACCTACCTACCACCTATAGAACTCGCGGGATCGCCGAAGAGAGTGGTGGCTGGGTCTCGAATTTACGAACGCAGCCGGGCATGAAACAAGAACTGCTAACGGTTACGGTTTCTTTTTTTCCTTCCTTTTTTGTTTTTTTTATTGCCTGCCGCCCCGGCGCATTTCCCGCCATTTTCATTGGATCCTGCTGCAGGCGGGAGCTTGTCAAAGCGTCTGATTAGTGTTCTTTTGCCAGGATAATTTGCCTTTTGGAGAAATTCCTCTACATATCATATCCAACATGTCTATAGGAGATGCAAGCCACAGAGTCTGGCCTTGGGAACCCCCGACGGCTGCTTCGCCCCGGCACCGCAGATCATGGCCCCTTGCAAACCCAACGGGTCAAAATAAAGTTGAAACCGCCGTAGCCGGGGCATGCTTGTAGAGAAAACACATCTCTCCGGCAATCGGTCTCACCGCGATTGGGTAGCAGCCACGGAAAAGGATATTCAGCACCCCATGTTCCCGCAAAGCACCATGTCGTCGCCAAGTTGGTGCCACGACACGTCGGCGAGTCGCAGGGCTGGAGCTGGGACGCCATTGGCGTCGAGCTCCCTAGCCGGGGACACAACGACCCCGCCTGGGCCAAGCCAGGTTGGGGCGATGGTGATGATGACCGAGTCCACCAATGCCCTGTTGCGCTGGCCCTCCAGGAGCGTGTTGATCACGCCGCCACCACCCTCGATCATGAGACTCTGAATCCCTTCCGCATATATGACGGATAATATGCCAGACCAATCCCAAACCCCCGTGTTGGGGCCCTCCGCGCCCGCCATGTGGCTCTGTACCTGGTCTTGCCCCAGCACTATATACTTTCCGCCGCGGCTTTCCAGTACGGCCCTTCTCTCGGCTGGGACCTCGTCAAGGGCGGCAGGGGTGATGATGATGAAAGGAGCCAGACCGGCACTAGAATCTACCAATCGCATCACTTTGCTCTCTTCCGAGAAGTGCCAACGGCCGCGCGGGTCCACGACTACAGGGCGCGGCTGGTGCTCTGGCCTCCGGGCGCCGCGGCGGGGTGAGGCGGCCAGGCGACAGTTGAGCCCCGGGTCGTCAGCCACGGCCGTTCCCGCTCCCACCAGGATGGCGTCGTGGCGGCTGCGCAAAAAGTGCGTCATGGCCTTGGACTCGGGGCCCGAGATGGCAGTCCTAACGCCTGGGGCTAGCGCCAGGGAGGAGTCGAGCGAGGTAGCAAACGTCAACGTCACGAAGGGACGAGCGGCCGGTGTGGTGTTCTTTCCGCCTGTTGGTGGTGATGCCGCCGCCGACCCCCCCTCGGGTTCCTCCGCCCGCACGGGAACCCCTCCACTCCCACGCCCTTCTGGCGTGACTGGCGGTAGACGACGCTCGAGCTTTGCGGCATCTCCGGATGGGAAGATCAACCACTCAGTCATGGCTCCCGCGATGGGATGGCCCCGGGCCTAAGCGCGGTGGGCCTGGATCTGAACCTGGTCCCCGTCCAGAGCTCGGAGGCCCGACTGCTCGTGGCTACCAAGATCAGACAATGTTGGTGGGTATGTGGAGTGGCGCGTATGTGGAGTGGTGTGTATGCGTGTGCGTGTGCGTGGCACGCTCCCCGGGCAGACGGCATGAACAGGTTCATGTGCCGGGAGGGGCAGGCAGTTAGGAGAGGAGGCCAGCAAGGGTCGAGTTCGTGGGGCCACACACCTTGGCGAGCGTGGGTTGGACCGAGCAGGCGGGGGGGGGGGGCGCTGAGGGACAGGAGGGGGTTTCGTTTTTTGCCAGAACCCACAGACGGCAGGGCAAGAAAAAGGTTTGCCCGTCGTGTTTTTACCACATTAGACGGGGTGACGGGCGCTCGCGGGCCCGCCGGAGAGGTTCCGACCGAATTGCAACCTGCCCGACCGCCGTCAGCCCTTCTTTTCTGGTGCTCGGCGTCCATGCGACGGTGGTCTGCATCTGCCGCGCATGCCTGTCGCCCTTGCCCGATCTTGCCCCGCCCTAGGTCGGTTGGGGTGCTAGCGCGTGGCTGTGCGCTCACCCTTGCGGGATGATGCGCCGTGTCCTGGGCCTGGCTCCTGGGCACTTTGCTCTGGGGCGGGTGGCAGCGAGGGTGAATGGGGTGCCATGCGCAAGGCTAGAGTTGGAACGGGAGGCACGGTGCCTACCACTTACGTCGAGGTAGGTAGCTACCGAGGTGCCGAGATAGCTATAGTGAGGTACCTATAGTGCCCATCTGCCTATCTGCGGGCACAACCTAATTCCCGGCGGGGGATGGAGATGTCGGTAACAAAAAATAAAAGATAGCTGCCGAGATGCTTAAAATAGGAACGTCAGGGCAAACAGAGTTTCGTCGAGGACGTCGGGTGACTCGATCGTGGGGTATAGCAGAGCGTCAAAGGATGGAGCCGAGCCAAGAGTCTGGATGCCGACGTTGGATCTGTTTGCACGTGTGTTTCTGCAATGCCTTGGCAGAGCTATGTGGAGGCAGCAGCAGTAGCCTGGGGCTCTGAAGGCCGAGAAGCGGATCATGTAGGCGGCGGGCGTGGTTGGGAAGGCGCTGCCCAGTCACGTTAGCGTCGCGCCACGCAGCGTCTCAAAAAAATTGCCTGCCGGGAGCACTTGCAGCAATTGCAACCGACGGGGACTAGAGTTTAATTGGATCCATGATCCCGGATCCACCAGCAGCCAGCCCGATCTGCATCGCATCCAGCACCAAAAAATAAAAAATAAAAATATAAAAAAAAATTCAGAATTCAGAAATCAGAAATCAGAAATCAGACAGCCACACACCACCTCTGCTGCTGTACCGAGGTATCAGACTTGACTATGCTAGTGCACGCTACCTTAGCCCGGCCGATGGCGAGCCTCCGGAGTCCAGAGGCGATGAGAGGCGACGAGAGGCGACGTAGCACGTAGGCCGTCATGTGGTCGCTTGCTCGTCGGCTTGCCGCCTGCGGCCTTTTGGGACACATGCCCCGTGCATTGTGCATTCGTCCCACGACCTCTCTCCTCGACTTGAAGTGGTGCAGGCATGGAAGCCACAAATCTGAAAGAGGTAGAGCCGGCCAGGAAAGCACTCGCCTTCGCATCCGCACCGAGCAAAAGACGGCGACTCGGCCTTTCTGTTACCACGACTGAAATCTTCGAGCCCGGGCAGGGATCTGAGCTCTATCTCGGGCCCAAGCAGAGGCAGGCACCCCTCCCATTTTGTCCGAACAAATCAATCCCACTTGTTCGGCTTCCGGAAATGTCCAGCCACTCGCCGAGGGGAAAACCGTGGCGACCGCCAACTGGCCGATAGATCCAGGACTACGACAGAACAGGTACTGTCTGTGTATTCCTCAGCCAGCGTCCCCATGGCGCGCGCCACAAGGGACGATCAGGGCGCGCTAGAAGACGCTACGGAATGTCCAACCGAGCGTCGTGAAAGAAGCTCCAACAATCGCCGCCTGTCCTGTCGATCAGCTACCTAGCCTGGGGAGCGGCCTTAAAAAAAATGTTTCCACGACCTGGGCAACGGCATATGTATCTAGGTTGGTACCTAGATACCTAGGTGGACGCCAAGCACCTGCACCAACTGCCGGGACTACTTGTAGGAGGCGTGGGATCCTGGGAAATGTGGTGCAAGCCAAGGCTGGAACCATATTGGGCGCAGGGAGGCACCCCCAAAGAGGCGCGCATGTGCTCCGGGTTCATGCCTCTTTGGCTTGGACATCGGAACGGTGCAGCATGGTCCAAGACTGGAGCACTCGAGATGCAGACACGCAGGCAAAAAGCGAGATTGAAGAAAAAGAAAACGAGGACCCATTCAGAAGCAAAGTTCGCAATTGCAGGAACAAATGCAAAAAGCAAACCCCGGGTACCTAGGAGAGTCTAGGTAGGGAGGCATGCAGTGATAAGCTCCCACTGACTGCCGGGACGGACGGCCTTCAGAAAAGTTGCCTGCCGGTAGGTTCGCGAGCAAACACGCCCCCTCGAGAAATATTGGCCCAGTTTGGCAAAGACGACAGCAGGACCCGGTTTCGAGGGCCCACATGTGATGCAGCCCGTCAAAAGAGCCCCCATACCTGCCATCCGCCATCCACGCCCGCGGACGCAGGGCAGCTCGATGAAGCAAGTCGATGAAGCAAGTCGATGGAGTACGCAGTAGCTCGCTGGACCCTGGTTTCAATTACCCTGCCTGCCCGACATAGCCGTCGCGCCCGTCACCTTGCTAGCACTCGTCTGGGTTTCGATCCAAGGCACAGCAAGCGCCAGAACGGCGGGGGCTTCCCTTCCAGCCTCGCCCGATGCGCTCCCACGGCACCGCCAGTGCCTAGCAGAGACCGTTCCCGCCTCTCCTTCTCGATGCGGGAGCCCGCAGTGGAGGCCCAATGTTTGCGCTCGGGTCCCAGGCTGGCCCTTGCTCGCTTAGGTATGTGCGCTAGGGGGCGTGGCCCTGTGGGGTATAGCGGCTTGCCTGGTGCTGGACAGGCATCCCGGTTGGGGGATGGAGCTACCCACATAGGTTAGGTGGTTAGGTGGTTAGGTGGTTAGGTAGCAGGTACCTACCGACCGGGGCAGGTACGTGCCTAGTCCTGCCAACCGCACTCCAGCCAAAGAAGGTTCATGTTTGTGGAGGCTCAAAGTGAGTTCGCAGCTTGGAAGCCGCTACGATGCCCGGGTGTAGGCTTGATAATCAGGGAAAAAAAGAACAAGGCAAGGGGAGGAAGCGCATGGACCCGGCGGTGCCGTTGGCACTTGCACACAGCAACACACGCAGCACACACACTCACACACACCACACACACCGCACGGCACACAGCGCGCGCTTGCCGGACCTGCCTGCCTGTCTCCAATCCCGGCAGGTGGGGATAGATCGCACCCTCTAGTTTGGGAGGTAGTCTTGGACAAAGGAAGCTACTAGCTGCCGACCAGGTGGTATATATATGGCCCCCGGACTGCTAGCCCAGTCCATGTTACCAGATGAGCCCTTCGTCTTCTAACCAGCTCAAAAGCACCCTCTCAACACACCCGTCCGCTCCGCCGGCCCACCAGTGATCACACTCTATCCCATAATATCCATCACCTTCCTAGGTTCTAGGAACGAACACCTACCAAGCCCAACTCCCCGCCGGCGAGCTCGCAAGAACTACAAAGGGACCATGACCGCTATGAAAGGTGTCCCGTCGCCGCCGGGGGTGACGTGCCAGTCCGCCTTTCTGGCACAGCCCAATCCTCAGGACCCATACCGATATCAGGTTGGGTTCGGGAACCGGTTCGCGTCTGAAGCCATGTAAGTCAACCCGGGCCAGGCACCGTCCAAAGACTTGTCACCCGCGCGGGCTTATCGAGCATGCACACACGACACAAACCCAAGAGGCTGACACTGTCCCTCAACTTCCTTGCAGCCCCGGAACGCTTCCAAGGGCGTGCAACACGCCGCAGAAGGTCAAGTACAACCTGTACGCGGAGCAGCTGAACGGCAGTACCGTTGCCACCGCTCGTGCTACCATCCAGCATGTCTGGATGTACCGCATCTACCCGGCCGTGGCTCAGGGCCGATGTATCCCCCAGGCCAGCCTCAACCCACATGTAGGTATCTCCAAGAGGCGCCATGGCTACCCGCCACTTGCTGCTTGCCCCTCCTCTCATGGGCGCATTGCTCATACCAAAGACCCTCCCGGTGCACTTAGCTCGAGTCGAGGTTTGGGTCAAACAACGAAAAGGTCGAGTTTGTTCCCCATGCGCTCTGCTGGCTGCCACTCCCGATCCCTTCCCCGCAGGAGAAGCTTGTAGACTTCGTCCAGGGCCTGAAGACACTGGCCGGCACCGGAGATCCGACCACCAATGAGGGCGTGGCCATCAGCATCTACTGCGCGAACCGGTCCATGGGAAAACGGGCTTTCTGCAACAACGACGGCGATTTCTTGATCCTCCCCCAGCAGGGACGCCTGGACATCCAGACCGAGTTTGGCAAGTAAGTGTCAAACACAGCCCCTCCCTTTCCATTCCCCGATCGTCCCCTACAGCAACGGACCCCAAGTTTTGGCACCCAAGCGCTCACGCTGTCCACCCGCTCAGGATGATGGTTCGCCCCGGCGAGCTTGTGGTGATCCAGGCCGGCATATATTTCAGCGTCGGCCTGCCCGATGGCAACTCCCGAGGCTGTGAGTCTCGCTCCTCTCTGCCCGTCCTCGTCAGCACCGTCAGGGACGGCCCGCAGTGACTAACGAGACGCCGCCGCTCGCCCAGATGTCCAAGAGCTCTTTGGAAGCCACTACGAGCTGCCGGAGCTGGGGCCCATGGGAAGCAACGGGCTGGCCATGCCGCGGGACTTTGAGTTCCCCATAGCATCGTTCGACTTGGACAATTCCGAGTGGGAGAGTAAGTGTGGACGCCGTCTCCTGGGGCGGTCTTGGCCGGGGTGCCCATGCTCACACCGCCTTCCTTTCCCGGCGCTAGTTGTCACCAAGCTCGCCGGCAAGCTTTGGACCTGCAAGAAGAGCCACTCGCCGTTTGATGTGGTCGCATGGCATGGAAAGTAAGGGCCCTATCTACCCGCTAGGCCGGCCGCTTTGACTGGGGATAGACGCTAAAAGCACGAATTCGCAGCTACATCCCGTACAAGTACGCCCTGGAGAAATTCGTCAGCGCCGCGGTGGCGGACAGGGACCAGAGCGACCCAACCATCGCGTGCGTCCTCACCGCGAGGTCCCGGACGCCCGGTGTGCAGATGGTCGACTTTATGGCCTTCACCCCGCGGTGGAACGTGGCCTCTGACAGCTATCGTCTCCCGGTAAGCTGATTCGTGGGGGGGTCTCTGGATGACTGACTTGAAGGCTCTAACAAGAACAAAACAGTACTATCACCGCAACATGGCTGCCGAGATCATGGGTCTGATATACGGAAAGTATGGGGGCTCGAGCAAGGACCTGCGGCCAGGGGGTCTGAACGTTCAGCCCAGCTATATGCCGCACGGAGGTATGTGTGAAAAGGGGGCACCCCCTATCGCCCGCCGCGGCTAGCGGCCAAGCAAAAGTCGAAAACGTGCCAGCTAACAAGTAACGGTGGCGTCGCAAACAACAGAGACACACAGAGCCTTCATGGAGGCGACCACAAAGGAGCTACGGCCTGAGAGGGTTGGCGAGGGGTCATTGGGTAAGTGACGGAAACAACTGCCCCATCATCCATCCATGTCTACCAGGTTCCGGCCACCGGGAACGATGTCGCGAGAGACAAACCCCGACTGACCATGACATGGACTTTTTGTTTCTTCGCAGCGTTTATGTTCCAGGTGGCAGCCCACTGTTCCGTGACAAAGTACGGCCTGGAAGAAACGGGATCGTTGACGGGTAAGTGACCAACCAAGCCTTCGGGGATCCCCTTGGATCCCACGTGTTTTTTTTCTTTCCCCACAGGGTGAAAACGCCTCACGAGTTCTAGAGCTGACCGACGGCATCGTCCGCCAAACTAGAGGCCCCCGCCTCGCTCTGGGCCGACATGGAAGGCCACTTCTTCGACCACCTGGACGAGGCGAACGAGGACCTGGCGAGGATGGGACTACAGCAGCTGGGTGCTATCCAGCGCTCGTAGGCTTACGGGTGTTGACAGGGCATTTTTCTGCTTTTTTTTTGTATTTCTTTTTGTTGTTCCGTCATCTCACAATACATATATGTATCTATAGATCAGAAGGGTTCGGACCTTGGCAGGATGTGAAGAAGGGGGGTGTGGCTCGACGGGGGTCATGGAACCGGGGAGCAGGTTGAGCGGGGGAATCGATTGGGTTTGCTGGCGGCGTTGGAAGGAGGAGGGGGGAATACCTACTACTACTCGGATGGCATCAACCATGACAGAGGGAAGCTAAAGACGAGGAATCATGACATGTTGAGTTCACGGGATATCGGCGGGATTTGCCTTTTTTTTTTTTTTTTGCATGTGCTGACTTGGGTTGACTTTGGCCTGATCCCTAGGAGGTCGCCCCTTGGAAAGCCGTCTCCCCTGGCCATGCCTGCCGCCCATTGGGTTCGACTGCCCCCTGGGCTACTCTCGGTGGGGGTGCCCCATCCGTCCTTCATGCACCATGCGGCTGGAGCTCAATCAATGGCAACTCTGAATGGAAGTGCTGCTTCTGTTGCTGCACTCCACTTCGTGCTGCTAGCAGGGCTGGGCGGGAAGGATTCGAGATGGGGCGAGGGAGACGTCTAGATGGGAGAATCGCAATCGCAAGCCTACGTACCCGCAAATCTACCAACGGCTGTGCTGGGAAGCGAGTTTCCGGCTGGCTCGCCTACAGCAAAACAGCATGCAGCCACAAGGCGGGCATCTTTTGCGGGCGCTACTTGGATTGTAGAATCTGATAGGCTCATGACAACTCTGCCTGTTGTGCTGTTTGCCTTTTTTTTTCTTTTTTTTTTTTTGGGCCAACAACTAAAGGGAGGAGGACGGCCGCCGAGGGAGGGGCTGGCGGAACGAACCTGTGAGCCAAGATGCAAAAGACACGTCGTCGATCCCTCCTCCCCCTTGCGTGATTTGTCCTTTTGTTTCTTGTTGCGTGAGCGAGGGAAGGGGCGACAGTCGCTTGGGCGGCGGCATGAATCTGAGACGAAACGGGTTTGGAGCGCGAGAAAAGGCACCGGAACTATTTGGCCGGATCAATTCAGCAAGCTCATTCAAGTCATCTTTCATTCATTTTTTTTGTTTTTTTGTTTTTGTTTGTGAATTTGCTGGCCGACCGAGACATTGCTACCATATTTCCTCGTGTCCAGCACACAATCTCTCCTCGGTGATGATGGGGCCCGTAGGCCGAGATGAAATCGGCTTGGTATTGATTGGGGACGACGGCCGAACCGTGGGGCTCTCTTTCTTTCGCTGGAGGAGCGGAAAGCGGGAAGGCTGCTTCGCCACAGGTCCCCCCCCCTCCCACCCCTGACCAATGACGAAGCCGAAGACGAATAGGGGGCCCCACCTGCCCCTCAAAAACGAACCCCTGTCGCGATGGGGGGGAGGCCGCCGCGCCCCAGAGAGCCGCGCAAGCCGATGGTGTAAGTCGCTCGGTCGTTTCCAGTCGTCCCGATTTGTCGGGTCACATTCGTCGGCCTCGAGACTCGCGCCTTCCAGCTAGTGCGACAAGAGAAAAGAGGTCGAGGGGTAACACAAATCCCTTTTCGTCTTCCGTTTTAATAATTCAGTGCCTTGTTTGTTTCCCCTATCTCTCGCCACTCCTCCACGTCTCAACCGCCTCCCCTCGACATCAACGACAAGGCCAGACCCTCAATCGGGAGAACGAACCCACCACCCGCAAAACCCACACATCCCCAAAATCACCATGAGCTCCAAGCCCGCGCCGCCTCCCAACGACGAGCCCCCGTCATACCACGATGCCAACCGCCCACCCCCGGGGGCAGCGCCGCCGCCAATGGGTGGTCCGCCGATGGGTGGCCCGCCGCCCATGATGATGGGCTCGCCGCCGCCGCAGCATCCCAAGCCCGCCTACTACGGCGCCGACCCCAACGCTCCTCCCGGTGGCTACCCGGGCGGCCCGCCACAGCCCGGCTACGGCTACTACCAGCAGTCTCCGCCCATGGGCTACTACGCCCAACCGCCGGGCCCCTACGGACCTCCGCCGCCCGGCGGCTACTACCAGCAGCAGCCGTATGGCCAGCAGCCGCCGTACGGCCAGCAGCCCTACGGCCACTACCAGGACGACAGGGGCGCGCGCAAGCCCGGCTGCCTCGAGGGCATGCTCGCCGCGCTGGCGTGCTGCTGCTGCTTGGACTGCCTGCTGTTCTAGAGCGTTTGGGAGAGAAGAAGGCGAAGGATGTAAAA